CACAGGTGCGGACAGAGTGAATCTCCAAGCCCCCACCTTGTGGCCTCCCTGGTCTGGCAGAGGTACTAAGCCAGGCTTGCATCTCAGATGATAACCAGGCTCTGGTCAAACTCTGGTTACAGAGCATTTCCCTTGCATGATTCCATTCGAGCCTCCATTTACCCTATGAAGTATTTACTGAGAAAAACAAGTCAGAGCACTAAGTGAACAACAGCTGAATCAAGCCTTGTTTTCTGTCTCAGGCCTGCTCCCCCATCCAGGTGAGTAAGAGATTCCCCCCATCCACCTTCCCTCCTTTTGTCTTGGGTCCCACTGGCTCTGGGCTTCCAAGGAGGCTTCTCTCTAACATTAGTGGAAATGCCTTGGAAGGTAGTGAGCTGTCTGTCACTAGGGGTGTATAAGAAGACACCAGTGACCGTCTGGCAAAGATGTGGTAGAGGAGATTCCTGTTTTGCAAACTCACAAGACCCCCAAGGCCCCTTCCAAATTGGAGAGCAGAACTCAGTGCCTGGGGAGACAGCATGGCCGGAAGCTGCCTGGGCTGAGAGTCAAATTGGGAAGAAAATAAAGGAGAAGAAAGAAAAAAAAAAAAAATCTGAAAGTGATCGTGAAGACTAAAGCAGATCCTTCTCTTCCAAGAAAGAGAGTGGAGCCCCAACAGGGATGGGGAGACAAACTGGGTGGCTGCCTGGAGAGGAAGTTGGGGGAAATGTCAGCGTGTCTCAAATAGCCATTCCTAGGAAACGTGTCAACAAAAGCCCCGCCAAACTTAGCGGATACAACGCGGTAACACAGCCGCGGAGCAGGGGAGGAGCGTCTCTTGGGGGAGAAGCACTTGAATTAAATTCAAAATACACCAGATTCTCAATCAATCCAAAATGCTAAAGGCCCAGAGAAAATCTATGGACTTTTATCTTTGAACGTCTTCCATTTCTCCGCGAAAGTTGTTGGTGTGTGAGGGGAGGGGGAGGGATCTTTTTAAAGCATTTTCTGAATCAACAATAGGATGTGGGGACGGTCTGAGCTCGACCTGAGACGTCTGCGTTCACCTTTCAGCCATCAGAGCCCAGGGCGATTCCAGAGGGAGCGCTGGGAACTCTTGCTTTCTTCAAAGTGGAAACCAAGTCTGAAATGCATCTTTCCAGCCTGGCAGGCTGGCACAAGAAACAGTTTCAGGTGAGAAACCGACTTATTTTTACAGTATCCTACAAAATGCCTTTTTTTTCCCCCTCCTTAAAATGCTTTAGAAATCTCATTCAACTCCTCTCTTCAATCATATGTAGAAAGACTTTAATAAGTTTGAAAAAAAATGTTTCTTACACATATAAAACATTGAGAAAAATACCAAAAGTAGCAAAGAAGGGGATAAATATTTCCAGTTTCTCCATGATCCAAAAATAAGCATTTTGGTATGATTACTACATTTTGATTTTTTTAGTTTTAGTTTTTTGCATGGTTTAAGACTAAAGCCATCTTAAAAAAGTATTTGAGAAGCTCTCGCCTTTCCCCCATCTATCATGTCTCCTACCCAGTCCCACCTTCTCAGCTGAGCTCTGTGGTGGTTTGGAATCTTTCTAATGTTTCCTATGGCACATACAAGCACAAGCCTGATTTTCACTGTGCATTTTTCTTACTACAAAAGGTAACATAGCACATGCATTTGGCTCTTCACACTTGACAATATATCCTATTACAGATTTTTCTGTGTTTATACAAACGTTTTAGGTTTTTATTAAAATGGGATCAGACTTCAGAAATATTTACTTTTTAGCTTAAGGATTATTTATTTATTTATTTATGGGGGCAGGGTAAGGGGATCAAAGGATTTTTTATTTTTTATTTTTATTTTTTGGTACCAGGGATCAAACTCAGGACCTTGTGCACTTGAGGCAGGCATCAGCACCACTGATCTTAAATCCTGGGCTCAAGTTAAGAATTTTTTTAATGGGCATCTTTTGCATATTTTCAAATACTCTCGTACGGTATCATCTTCAAAGGCTCTAAAATCAGGAAAATGTCATGGAATATTATGATGCCTGTTTGGTTGTGCCTCTCCCAGGATAATTTCTGGGATAGGAAGGAAAAATGTGCTGGCTCTTGGAGTTGAGAGACCAGTACATGACATCCAGCTCTGCCAGGCCCCCGATGTGTGAACTTGAGTTCTCCGCCTGGGTTAACACCAGCCTTGTGTGCAGCCCAGGGCTGTGTGGAGAATTAAATGGGACCATGGTTAGGAAAAGACCATTCAGCATTGGGCCACAAGGTACTAAAATATGGGTGTGGCTATAACACACAATTTGCATAAGGAGTTTTTTGGTTTCTCTTATTGGTTTTCACTTTTTTTTTTTTTTGTATCGAAGATTAAACTTAGGACCTTGTGCTTGCGAGACAGGTGTGGTACACTGAGCTAAATCCCTGGCACTTGTTGGTTTTAGTAAATATTTTTTTCTCAAAATTGTAATTTTCTAAAAACATTTTTCTTTTTACATATTTAATGTGTATGTGTATTACAGAGGAATTGGGGATGATAAATAAACAAAAAAGGATAAAATTGAAATAACCCATAATTTATTTGCAAAATTTCAGATATTTCACAAGTAGACATATACTGATACACGCGCGTGCACACACACACATTTTATTTTTATTCATTTATTGGGTTTTTTTTGAGACAGGGTCTCACTATGTAGTTGAGACTGACCTGGAACTCACTATGTAGCCCAGGCTGGTCTCAAACTCACAGCGATCCTCCTGCCTCAGCATCCCAAGTGCCGGGATTACAGGCATGACCGGCTTTATATATAAAATTTACAAAACTGGTTCATATTGTACACATTATCTTAGTAATTTTCTATTCCACTCAATAATATAAATACTCTTTCAGAAAGGGTATGGTGGCACATTCCTGTAATCCCAGCACTCAGGAGGCTGAGGCAGAAGTGAGTTCAAGGCCAGCCTGAACTGCATAGTGAGACCCTGCTCAAAAAAAAAAAATACCCCCAAACTTTTGAATTTATAAATATATTTTATCATTTATTAATAGCTACATGAATTTCTGTCATATTAGTGAATGTGCCATATTTCTACTCAGTCTGCTTTGTTGGAAATTTAAGTTCTTTTGTTTTTTTTTACTATTTATAGAATGTTATGTTGGATATATTTATAGTCAAATATTCACAAACTTTAAAGAAGTCAATTTAGAGTGAATATCTCTTTTTACATTCAGTCAACACCTCTTATTTGCCATGAACTGCTCAGGTTTTAGTTTCTACGATGAATCCTACAGACAAACTGTTAATCTAGGAAAGAGCACTGAAATCATCATAATCTTGTTTTGGGCTTGCTTAGGGCCCCAGGGTTCCGCTGTGCCTGGGAAGCCCTTCCACGGTGACGGTGACGGTGATGGTGACGGTGACGCTAAGCCTTTCCAAACTCCACTCCTCAGGCTGAAACAACCCCTCCTCTTCAGGATAAGGATCTCATTTGTCAGGATCCAATGCAGATAGTTCCTCCTTGACACCCAAAAGGAGAGTAAGACTCTCCTGGAGAATTTCAGGACCCTGAGACCTGCCACATCCATTCTCTACTATAGATTCAGACTTTGTTTTACTTATTGTCTCAAATTATTCCTGGAAATATGACCAAAACATAGAGGATATTCTCACTGAATTTATCAATTTATTAACTGAATTGCTAGCATTGTACATTTAGTGAAATAATAAATATATAACAACTAAAGTTACATTTTTGTTTGGTTTTTTTCCTTTTTAAATTAATTTTATTGGTGCATTTAAGGTATACAATATAATGACATTCATCATTGGAAATTTGCACCTCTACATAAACCATATTGGTTCTTATTTTTTCCCCACTCCCCTGCCCTCCTTTCAACTCCTCACCCCTCCTTATCTACAAAGACTTTGTTTCCATTTTTTTATTTTCTCATATTAATTCCATTCCCTTCTTTCTGTTTGCTTTTTTGTTTTGTTTTGCTTTTGGTACTGGGAATCAAATTCAGATCCTTGCACTTGTAAGGAAGGCGGCGGAACCACTGAGCTAAACGCCCAGCCCTAACTAAAGTAACATTCTTGGCGAAGAAGGGCTATTCTCAAAGGCTCACAGTCAGCAGTCAGGCTTGGCTCTCCTGGCCCCTGAGCTGGGCCAGCATGTTCCTATCTCAGTTTTGCCATTCTGTCCTGGAAGACCGACTTCACACTTAGACTCAGTCAAGCAGCCAACGTGTACTAGGGATTCATTCACCAGGAAAGATCTGGGACTGAGTACTTTTATCACACACAGTCATGAATACCAAATTAAGTATAAAAACAATATTTATTTCAACCAAGAAAGTGAATCACAATAACTTACCAATTTTTGTGTGTGGTGGTAATGGGGATCGAACTCAGGACCTTGTGCTTACAAAGCAGGCATGGTGCCACTGAGCTGAGTCCCCGGCCCTAACTTACAAATTTTTAAAGCTGACCAGGACTGCAAATTTCTGCCTGACATACTAGTCCAATACTTTTTTATACTTTTTGGTTATCATGAAAAAAATATATATTAATTTAAAATCAAGGCATACCTATGAACAATTTAAATACATTTTAAAATGCTACAGTCTGGAGCTGGAAATACATGATAAACTGGTAGTGCCTTCTAGTCCCAGAAAATAAAAAAGTGCTAAAAATAAATGAATAACATTTAAAAGGCAGTTAGATTTTTCAACAGACACTGGAGCTATCTGAGAGAGCTTCAGTTGTCCAACACTGGAACTATTTAAGCAACAAAATAAAGATTATAATCCAGGGCCGGGAATTGAGCTCCGTGGTTCTGCTGCCTGCCTCGCAAGTGCAAGGTCCTAAATTCAATCCCTGATACAAAAGAAAATAAAAAAGATTATAACCCAAAGTATTAAATAAATATCCAGGGACTACACTGATATAAATGAGAGAAGAGAAAGAAAAGCAAAGGGAAAAGAAGTAGAAGAAGGAAGAAGGGAAGGAGAAGGAAAAGGAGAGGACAGAGATGAAAAGAGAAGAAAAAATATCTAGGGAGAAAATATTTTGCATGAACACTGTCTCCTCAAGGTTCTATGACTCCCCGTTCCTTCACTGTGGGCTGAGCCCAGTGACTTCCCTCCAAAGAGGACAGCGTCAGAGGAGGCTGCAGGGTGATGGGAAGCTTAACTGTAAGTGGAAAATCCTGACCAACTCCACCAGCCAGGGGGTCGACGCCAGCGCGCACTGTGATTACCTAGGGCAGTACGCTCCTCTGACGTGACGCTGTGAAAACGGCACTCTGCCTTTAGGTCTTCCTCCCCCAAATCCATCCCTAGTATAACCTTAGAGAAGCAAATTCCGGTAGAGCGGCGTTCCATAAAACCTGGCGAAGTACTCAAGGGTCTTCACGACCAGGAAAATGAGAAACAGCCATACCCAAGAAGGAAACAAGGGTACGTGACAACGCAATAAAATGTAGGATCCTGGATGGGATCCTGAAACAGAAAAAGGACATTAGGTAAAAACTAAGGACATTTGAAAACAGTATGAACTTTAATTAATGATAATGTCTCCATGTTGGTTCATTATTGTAGTAAATGTGCTTCACTGACATAAGCTTTTTTTTTTGGTACCGGGGATCGAACTCGTCACCTTGTGCTTACGAGGCAGGTGGTGGCACCACTGAGCTAAATCCCCAGCCCCATGAGCTATTATTAATAATAGAGTAAACTAGGAATAGGATATATGGGACTCCCTGTATTATCAAGATTCTTCTATAAATCTATGAACTGTTCAAAAACATAGTCTATTAGGAAAAATGGCTGTAATGTATTCAATTCCATAATCGTCTAGCTAAATTATTCTCCTTGCAAAAGCTGACTTGTTAATGAGTACGTGTTTTATTATGGGAATGCTTGCTCTTCAGGCTCTTTTGTCACATCGCGGGAAATTTCCCCTGTTCTTTTGTCTAGAAGCACCACGCTGTATCCGTAATAAGGGGTTTCCACGTTTTGTTTGTCAGCTTTCTGCCACTGTAACAAATACGGGAGATAATAAACTGATAAAGTGAAAAGGTTTATTTCCGAACACAGTCTTGGAGATTCCAGTCCCGGATGGGGCAGACCCCTGGCTTTTGGGTGGGTGGGGCACCAGATGGGAGCAGCCGGTAGTCCATAGCTGAGAAACCAGACTGCTCACCTCATGGCCAGGGAACTAAAGAAAAGGAGGGAGTCCCACACTGTGCCAGAGTCCTAGAGTCTCCCCCTTGAGGCCACGCCCACTAGGCCGCGCCTCTTAAGGGCACCATCACCTGTAAGCAATTCTCTGGGTATCTAGGGGACATTTAAGAGATCTGACCGGAAAGCGTAAGGAACAAACCAAGAGATACGAGTGAGGTGTGCCAGTAGGAGTGAGGGCTTAGAGCCCAGTAAATTGGCCTCCATCCCCAACCTTTCCTGGCATCCAAGGCACTCCCCGGGGCTCTGAGGAGTAAGTTTGATCTTACATTTAACAAATATTTGTGTTGCTGGGGATACAGTGAGACAAGTGAACAAGGGCGTCTCTCTCTGGTGAGCAAGAGACAAGTCTGCCATCCATTAGAGGTGGCCTGGAAAACCCAGGACTGGAGCAATAGTCTCAGTCCTGGCTGGACCTTAGAATCACCAAAGAAGCTTCTTAAAAATATCAATGCCTCGGCCTCTCCCCAGGCCAGTGAAATCAGAATCTCTGAGGGTGGGGCCCAGAAATGTGTATGCTTGAAAACTTCTTCCCAGAGATTCTAAAAGCGGAGTCAGTGTGAAGAAACATCAGCCAAATCGTCTAGGAACAACCAGCCCTGACATGGGTGCTCTGTGGTCTTTGTCATCAAAGGGGGTGGGGCGGGGGTGCGGGCCAGGCTGGGGTTGGCAGAAGTGGGGGTGAGGGGAGGGTGTTGAAGAGCGGTGTGCGCAGCAGCCCACGCACTTGCTCCTTTTAGAACAAATCAGCTCTTCTGAGACATATGTACTGAAGAAGCCTCCTCCTGGAATTTTCCAGACAGAGCTGAGGACTGCTCCCTACGCAGGACCCAGCCTGGATTCCGCTGACTGTGATGCAGAGAAGCTCAAGGCTAGAAGGTCCTTAAGGGTCACCAGTCTCACCGGCCCGTGGCTCCCCCCGCCCCTCATCTCCCTTTCTCCCTCTGTCTCTGTCTCTCTTACACACACATACACACACACACACACACACACACACACACACACACACTATTAGTGCTAGCAGCTGAGTGCTGCAGTGTTCAGAACAAATGTTCATGGCACATCCAAAGTTACCACAGGGATATTTGATCTGCCTTTTGACTTGTTTGCAGCCACAAACAAACAAGAACTCAGCATGAGGAGAACAAGGCTGAATGGTAAAGAAGGGGAGGAAAAGACAACCTGGCTGCCGAGGGTTAAACAACTTCCCTCCCTTCTTAGAGCCTTTTTTTCAAGTTTTATTTTACTTTATTTTTTTATGGTACCGGGATCGAAGTTGGGACCTTGTGTTGCAAGGCAGATGGCGGAACCACTGAGCTAAACCCCTGGCCCTCACATTTTATTTCTTATTAGTTCACTATTGTGGTGCGTAATGACCACAGTCCTTGTGGGGCATTGGTACATGTGCAGAACAGATCACCATTATTTTTCGTCCATCTTCCCTCCCTCCCACTCGCTCCATCTCTTGGTCCCCTCCCCTTTTGCAAAAGATTTATCTCTCTATCTGCTGTTATCTCCTATTTCTCTCTCTTTCTTCATATTTTAGGTGTCTCCTGTAAGAGAAACCGTGTGACATTTAAGCTTGTATGTCTGATTTATTTTTCTGCGTGTTATGATCTCATGTTCTGCCCTTTGGAAGCTCTTACTGTTGTTCACGGAGGAGGAAAATGTGCCTTCTCTTCCAGGTGACTTAACTCACCAGGACAGAGCAAGGGTTTTCTTCATCTTCACAATTTCATCCTTGTTTTCAGATGGGGAAACTGAGGCAGGAAGACAGCAACCTCAGTGAGAGCAAGCTAGGGCTCTCCCCAGGTCTCACAGCTGCCTGCCAATCCGGGAGGCACCATTTGCTTCCCACCCACTCCAGGGAAGGCTCTGGAGAATGCTCCTCTTTGCAACTTTTCTATAAATGTAAAATTATTCCAAAAGGCCCCTCATATCATTGCTCTCAAAGCTGTTGCTTACTATGAGTAAACAATACAAAATTGTTTTTTAAATGCTGGCTATTCATCTTTACACATTTTCAATATCCATTTCTGTTTTTGTTGTTGTTGTTGTTGGTGGTGGTTTTTTGTTTTGTACCAGGGATTAAATTCGGGTTCTTGCGCTTGTGAGGCAGGCAGTGGAACCACTCAGCTAAATACCCAACCCTATATATATTTTTTAATGTGCACAGTATATCAACCCAGTATCACAGACCCAACATACACAGATTGTATTCATTTCATAGGCTGCATGGCTTCAAACAAAAGAAGTTCCTTATCACACATCATGGGCTAAAAATCCAAAGTCAAACTTTCTGAGCTCTAGGGGACAATCCATCCCTTGTCTTCCTCGCTACCAGTGTCACCAGCACACCTGACTATTACACATATCATTCACTCCCCGTGTGCCTCTGTGCGACTTCTCTTCTTCTAAAGACACCAATCGCACACTGGACTGATGGCCCACGCTCCTCCATGTGACCTGATCTCATGTGCTCATTCATGGAGAGCTATGCTGTGTTCAGATACAGTCCAGGAAGGACATAAATTTGGGGGGAACACTCGGAGTTGCATTTGTCCCCCACACACAATACACTCACCATATCCCAAAGTCTCCAAAAGTTTTAATCCATTTCAATATCAATGCTTAAATCCAAAAGCTCATCTAAATATCATCATCTCAGAAACTCCCGAATTTCATCCTCTGCATCAGCTAAACACTAGACTGGGGGTGTGGTGCATCCTGGGTAAATTTCTGTCCATCTGTAGATCTATGAAACCAGAAAACGAATTCTGATTCCAAAACACAGCGGTGGGGCAGGCACTGGATAGATAGTCCCCTCCCACAAAGGAGAACTAGGAAAGGAAAATGGAGTTACAGGTCCCAAGCAAGAATGAAACTCAGAGGACTAGCACAGAGGATAGTCTGAGTTCATTAATCTAGTCATGTTATTAATTTGGTTTATTTTTATTTACTTCTTTTTAGACGGGGTCTTGCTGTGCTGCCAAGGCTGGTCTTAAATTCCTGTGATCAAGAGATCAGCCTGCCTCAGCCTGCAAATAGCTAGGACTACAGGCATATACCATCATGCCTGGCTTAATCGTGTTATTTTTATTTGCTTCAAAAATTTCCAAAATTAAAAAAAAAAATTAGAGGGCCATGGATTTAGCTCAGTGGTTCCAGTGCCTGCCTCAAAGCACAAAGATCCAAGTTCGATCCCCTGTACCAAATTAATTAATTAATTAATTAAAATTTAGAAAAGAAAAATAGCTTCCTTTTCCCTTACATACTAGGTGCAGGCTTACTGCAGACAAACAAATAATAATTCAGTCTTAATTTGATGACTTAGATGTAACCCACCGTTCCCATTTGTTACATTTCCACACGTACATTAAATTGATTTTTTTTTATTTTATCAGTTGTGTACATTATATCTGTACTACATATGTGAAAAAAATGAAAACCACATGTATTCAATATACAAAAAGGAGCCCCCTCCTTTGTCCAAGCAGTCTGTGGTCAGTGCCACACATTCCCTAGCCTTGTTACAAATAGCCTTGTTGGAGGAGAAGGTTGAAGTTGATCCAGCCATCAGCCACGGATCCTCACTAAGGCGTCTACGGGGATGGGAAAGATTTCTAAGAGTACAACAGAGAAGCCAGGCCTGGTGGCGCACACCTGTAATCCCAGCATTTGGGAGGCAGAGGCAAGAGGATCACTGTGAGTTCGAGGCCAACCTAGGCTACATAGTGAGTTCAAGGCCAGCATGGACTACATAGGTAAGAGTCTGCCTCAGAAAAAGAGGGGGCAGGATTTAGATCAGGGGCGCTCCAACTGCCTTGAAAATGCAAGGTCCTGAGTTCAATCTCCAGTACAGAAAAAAAAGAAAAGAAAAGAATGGAACTTTACCTTTTTTAGACCAAAATCCTTTCACATTCTCCATAGTTTCTTGAATTCTTTCTTCTCTTAACTGGTTGAGCATATCAGAGGTTCTAAATTCTGAAATCTACTTGTCATAACAGTTTGTGAAGAAGAAAGACAATCACACAATTAATTCTTTGAACTGAGGTATCCTCAGATCAGAACCTGATCAACCCTTACAGTGTTGAATTAAAATTCTAGAACCATACATTGACCTGGGAGGAGGTTTCTCCAATAAATAGAGCCAGTGTGATTTTAAGAGAAATATCTTTCACAACTAGGAGCCAACTATCATTGGGTTAAACAGGTTGAGGGTACAGTGTTGAATATTATCTAAGATAATTCACAAAGATCCCTCCCCCTTCAAGAACTTGCTCAATAAATACATTTTTTAAAAGTTGGGGTTTGGTAATAATGTTGAAGTTCAATAAGTAATACATTTTTTGTTTAAAAAAGTCAAATCAAGGTTGGTCGTGGTGGCACATACCTGTAATCCCAGCACTCGGGGGGCTGAGGCAGGAGGATCGCTGTGAGTTCGAGACCAGCCTGGGCTACATAGTGAGTTCCAGGGCAGTCTCAACTACATAGTGAGACCCTGTCCAGAAAAAAAAAAAAGTCAAATCAAATCCCAGGGAAAGCAGCAACTGCAGCAATCCAGCCCTGGTGAGCTCCCCACCTGCTGGGCACACATCCTTCACCCACAACTGTTTTTATTAACTGGGATGCGGTCCATCCCTGTGTAGCTTTATGAAATGTGCTTTGGCATGGGGCACAGAAAATCCATTTAGACATTAATAGTCTGTTTGTGAGCTCGGTTATTCATTCACAAGAGTAACGACAGAGTACTGTGATTTTTTTTCCCCAGCATTTTTCCTTAATTTTATTGGCTAATAAAACCCAAACTCTGGGACTTTTTGCCCAGAAAGTGACACCAAAGGAGAACAGCTGCCCACCAGACCCCCAGGGCTCCATCCAAGGACCTGCACTCCATCTGCCAGCCAGGGGCGCAGGGTCAGCCAGCCGGGGGTGGGGATTGGCTAATAACCCAAACTCTGGGACTTTTTGCCCAGAAAGTGACACCAAAGGAGAACAGCTGCCCACCAGACCCCCAGGGCTCCATCCAAGGACCTGCACTCCATCTGCCAGCCAGGGGCGCAGGGTCAGCCAGCCGGGGGTGGGGGGGTGGGGGGACCCCCTGTGACTTCCGGACTGAAGGGAGGAAGCCCAGGTGTCCCTGCTTCTCGGATTCAAAATGGCAGCATCAAGCTGTAGAAATGACCTCTGAAACAAGCCAGGTGCAGACACACACAAATATGTCAGGATCTCTCTGACAAAG